TCAACACATTTTTCTGGATTGTGCTGTTGTATTAGTTTTGCATTTGATTCGGTTGTGATTTTTGACTAACAGGACATTTGCGAAACGACAAGAGCACAATATTCGAAGTTCAGCATTGCATGGTCAGTTTGGTGTCAGAATTCGTTGAGGCAAGTTGATTGTTGTATTGATGGTTCATTGATTGTTTCTCCAAAACAAATTGTTAATTTAGTCAGTGTTTGATCGAAAGTGCAATAATTCTAATCAATTTGTTCACCATTTTATTTTTCATTTTCATTTTCATTAGATCAAATTTGGTGAGCATGAAAAGAAAGCGGGCCCAGAACGGGCGACCGAGATCGGTCAAACTGTCGCTGAATTCGGTTCTTCGGGATCAATATCGCGCGAATTTTGTGGCACAAGTCAACAATTGGTGCCACACAGCCACCGTCATCACCGTTTTGGCGTCATTGTTGTTTCTTTTCGAGAACAACCGAGCATTCGACGAAGATAACCACAGCTTTTTCAGAGGCAATGGATACGAATTGATCAAGGATTGCTTCAAGAACATTTTGAACGAGAACCGACACAAATTGCCGTTGGCTTTCCGCCAAATAATCGAAGCAGCAGTCCCAAACTTCCGATGGCCACAACGTGAAGGCATGGGAAACGCATTCAATCAGCTCATTGATCAATACACCACCAATGTCAAGAACAACATCAAAACGTGGAGCTACACCCGTATCAAAACGTTTTTCGTGCTGCAACGGTATAAGCTCAATTTGCTTGGCCATAACATCAGCGACATCGATGTGAAAAATGCCACCAAATCAGTTATGTTCAACAACATAGTACCAAGTGCGAATGTGGAGCGGCTGCTCGAGCAAGCGCGTATGATCGGAATACCAGTCGGTACGAAGTTGTGTGATCTCGTCCGTGGTAGTTGGTTCCAGACAATACCGATATTCATCACCATTCAACGGCTAGTGTTCAACCACCATGAAAGATACGAGCTCTTGAATGATCTCTGGCGCCGATATTATCGGGATCGATTACACAACGCCATGCCATCCATTGCACGCCCAACGAAAATAAAAAACTTTCGTGTAATTCCGATTCATGACTTCAAGATGAAGCACATACGGATCGATATTCATCTGTTCTATCAAATGGCGTGCAAATTGGGTGCCATCAAGTTGGCAAAAGGATTGTTTGGCCAGCCGGTTAACATTTCGAAAAAGGTCTACGATAGCAATCCATTTGTGTCCTGGGACACAATATTCAACATGGACAAGATTCAGAAAGTCGGCAATCGCAAGAGATTTGACTACACAATCGTGACGGATAGTGTGGCTGTTTCGTTGTGTTTCCTGAAGCCAGAATGCCCCTCACACGAATATTCGCACGAGCAAATCAACGAAATGTACGAAAATGGTGTTTTCCGCTTCGTGCTTGGCATGGACCCTGGTGTGCGAACCTGGAATACCACGGTGCGAAAACATATCGCATCCGGTGTGGAAGTGAGTAACAATGATTTGTTTGTTTGTTTTGTCAGTCATTTCATTTATATGCATATAATCATGATTCTTTGTTCTTATTTATTTCACACAGGAAAACATCACGATCGACGGTCCGAAATACCATTTGCGAGCGAAATATGGCAAACGAAAGCGCAAATCGGAAAAATGGCTACGATTGTTCACCGAATTGGAGCAACATGACCGAAATCAATATCCATTCTATCCATCGCCCAAGGGAGCCTCAAATTGGATGAGTTACATCGAACATCGTGTGAAAATGTTGCAGCCTGGAATGGAGGTTTACACAGCACGTAAATACATTCGCCTCAATCTCGATAAACATATCGAGGAGACCCGTGCAAGTGATACCATCGCTGCTTTTTTGACCAGAAAATTGCCATCGCTCATTTTCCTTGGTGCAGCTCAAATGGCTCCAAATTCTCCAATTGGTATTAAGAAACGGTTGCGGTGCCCTGGTGTACGGAAACTACTGAACAGCTTCAAGAAACTGCACAATTGTGTGGTGGTGATGGTTGACGAATTCAAAACATCGCAGACGTGTGCAAAGTGCTTTCGGCCATTTGATCGACGTACAAGAAACGACCGCTACAAAGTCTGCCGTCAATGCATTCCACATGCAGCAAATATCACGACTGACAAACACCTGAGCAGTGTGATCATCAGCAAGAAAAGCAACCGGTCGTATCAACGAGAGCGACGACATGTTGTTGCGGAATATGAACGATTGAATGTACATCCAGTGTATTCACATGGTTTAGTGCCGAAACTCAATGTATGGTTCAAAAACTGGCAGCTAAACACTGATAACACATGGAACGATTCACGTCATCCACATCAACAGAACACTGTTTGGCATCGGGATGAAGTCGCTGCCAAGTGCATATTGTACAAAGGTATATATCGTACATTGAAAAAAAAAGTGAAATATTCTGGCTAACAATTGTTGTTTGTGATTTCGGTTGTTTCAGGTCTTTGTATGATAAAGAGCTTGGATGTGCATCCGCAACTGTCGAGACAACATCATGCAGCAGCTGCAGCCGCGCAGAACAATGCCGAAGGCGACCAAGATGACAACGATAGCGACAGCGACGATGATTACGTTTACGTTCTCGACGACGTGTCCGATGAAGAATAGTTTTTAGTTGATGTAGGATTAAGTTTTCAAACAATAATAATTGTAACGTTTTGTTACTTTGGTGGGCTTTGAGTATTGTGGCCTTGTCCGAAGTACGGGGCTTAGTCGGATCATATAAAATACCTCGTAGGTGAGAATCACTATTTATTAGCATATTGAATATTGATTCATAATCGTTTTTATATCATTCTAATTGATTTGTTTTTACTGTTTTTCTTCTACTTCCATGACTGAAACTACACCCAAATGTGGGCCCAAATTCAACCGTTTACATACGCTTGGCAATGGATTATTTGCGTTAACAATTGTTCCTTGGGATAGGCCGAATAAAACAGACCTCAACTGAATTTTAAAAACAAAATCTTATCTCTAATGCTGCTTAAAGGAAGCAAACAGAATTACATTTTTATAACTAGTATAGTTCTGATATAAGTATACGTTACAAGATCCCCAGCAAACTGTTTCTGTGCCAACGCTTCTTTGAAGTGACCAAATAAATAATTATAGCCCGACAGTGTTTTGGAACCCTTTTGATCCCAATACGAATATATTCGCCAATTAATGAGATACAGCAACGTCAATAGGCCAAATCAATGATTTTTCCAATTGTCACTTGGTAATAACGACCTCAACTGAATTTTAAAAACAAAATCTAATCTCTAATGCTGCTTAAAGGAAGCAAACAGAATTAAGTTTTTATAAATACAATTTCATTTTGTTCTTAAAATAAAAAAATTGTGATGTATTTTTCATGTCATCAAACGTTGAATAAGTCAGCATGAACCGACAAATTCAAGTAAAAAAATATAATAATGTTCACATTCCATTCCGGTCGTTTTAAATACAGATAAATAGAATTAGTTGTAATTGAAAGAATGTGCGACGCAAAATGCGTACTCGTTTACATTCAACTCACATCAGACATATATTGACACTTGATTATTTGAATCCAAATGACTTTGTGGTTCAGTCTGGGTCTGATTTCTTTATTTAATAACCGGACAAAATAAAAATCTATTCAAAATTAATTGAATAAAAGCAAATTCCTTCATTCGAATCAACTAACGGCCATTCACTATATGTTGGCAGTGGCGCTAAAGTGTCAATATGACTCCGTGGCGCAACGGTAGCGCGTCCGACTCCAGATCGGAAGGTTGCGTGTTCAAATCACGTCGGGGTCAATTCTGTTTTTTTTTATAAAAAGAACCAATCAAAAACGACTTGTGGTGATTTTTTGTGAATAAATACTTTTTAAAGAAGATTAAACATTTTTTTTAGTTCATTAAAACCCAATTTCAGTGCTGGTAACACTTTTATTCATTGAATTTTAAACCAGAGTTTGACTTATCCGCCAGATATATGCTATACCATGAAAAAATATGCGCATATTTTTTTTATGCCATAGCATATATCTGGTGGATAAGTCAAACTCTGTTTTAAACTACATCAGGATCAATTCGTCATTTTTTATTTATTCATGTTACCTTTTTCACTTCCATCGCTTTGTAAGAGATTTGTCAAGGAAGAAAAACTTTGTCATCAATTTCTATTCAAGACGAATCGAATTAATAAATGGATTTTTCTTCTTTGGTGCCTAATTTTAGAGAGCGAAAAAAGTCTAAGAATTGATACGAATCTCAGAAGAAAAAAAATCAACCAAACGAATCACATCGAAATTCCGTTTCTTAATGAATGTACGACTGTGTGCGAGTGGCAATTTGTTCTATTTTGGTCGAAGAGCAGAATGAACACATATTTACTCGAAATCTTCTTTCGTTGATCTAGGTTCTATAAGCAGTCATGCCATCGTTTGTCCGTAATTGATTTATTTTTACAAGAGATAGCAATCGGCGAAACAGACGCAAAAAAATCCAAAAATGTGTTTGTCAAAGTATAATAATGTGATTTAATCCTTATCAACTAGTAGTCAATTAACCGATAAATAAAATGTTTATCGCTTGATAATGTGAAGGTTAATGCCGCCAAGGGGACTTAACAAAAACACGTGCGGGTCAAATTTGAATTCATTTTTCTTCAATCTCTCTTCCAATTCAAATCGATACTTTTGTAACATCAAAACCAGACCGACTTTGGTTTGCATCTTTCCCATTCTCAGTCCGATGCAATTCCTTGGACCTACACCAAATGGAATGTACGGCCTATTCACTATATTTTTTCCGGCTGAATTTTCTTCATTGAAACGCTCGGGATCGAACTTTTCTGGGTTTTCGTAATATTTCTGATCGTGTTGGATTGCGAATGCTGGAATGAATATTTCAACGCCTTTTTCGATAACTTTGTCCGTGCCGGGGATTGGATAGTCCTTGACACATTCACGTTGAAGCAAAGGGACCACAGGATATTTACGAAGAGTCTCTGTAAGGAAAAAAAATGAATTGATGAAATTTCCAATTCATGAATAGACGGTGGTATCATGAAGAACTCTTTTTGAATGGGGCAACTCACCGTCGATGCAGGCCTCCAAGTACTTCATATCTGAAATGGATACATAGGTAATTTGGCCGTTGTGTTGGTTCAAAACGATGTCAATCTCTTCGTGCACTCTCTGCTGAATTTTCGGATCTTTTGCCAATTCATACAAACAAAATGAGAGTGTAGTCGAAGATGTTTCAAATCCAGCTGCAAAGAAGACGAAAGTTTGTGCGGCGATTTCGTTCAATGTCATGGTCTTTTGGGTTTCGTCAGCTTTGATCACAGTATCCCACTGATCGTCCAACTGAACTGATCCCGTATTTCGAAGCTGAATCAGCAGTTGGAAGAAATCTTTCCGCGAAACGTTATTTTTCTCTCGATATTCTAAATTCTGTTCACGGTTGAAAATTTACAAAATAGAAATTCTCGTTCAATAGAACAACAAATTTTTTTCACCACCGACCTGTTTCACCACCGACATGATGAATTTTTCAACATCCGCGTCAAATGCTTTGAGCCGCAAGAAGGACATCAGTTTTGGCGCAACAAATCCGATGAGTCCTTTCAAATTATTCCAAAAATTTGATTCAAAAATTTTACGTCCATATTTACGGAAATCATTATTCGGATCATTAATCGTGTCCACATCGATTCCAAAGGCAACGGAGGCAATGACATTTGTTGAGTGTGCGGCTGAGATCTCACGCACATCAAGCATTTCACCCTTGTTGGCTAACTTTTCTAAATAATTCTGCAACGTCGAACCACAATCAAGCAGCGTAGAAAACATCGACTTTAGCTTCCCTACGCGGATGAATGCGAAACAAGTAAATATATTTTTTATTCTGGCGCAAGAAAAAAAAACGCAACAAATTTATATTGCGTACATACCTGAGGTAAATGTAGGTGTCAATTTTCCCCGTAGATTCTTCCACTTTTGACCTGAAGAATATTTATGTTGTTTTTGAAATGAATAACGGTCGAGAATGAATAAGAAATATGTTAACCTGGTAATACAAATAGATGTCCGGATAATGGGTCATATTCTTCATTCGAATGAAGTCCGCGATCGGTAAAGTGCGTAAAATCTTTGATCATAATCAAACGAAGGAGCTCTGGGTCGCGCACCAACAGCATCGGCCGCATCAATCCATAGATTCCAATGTACGCTTCATTCGTGCTGCGGTATAGTCTCGTGGAGAAATCGGCCAAAGATTCTTTTCCCAATAAGTTCTTTTTGAAATGGCTTTATAAAAATTAATGGGAGGCCGAGTCAGATTTGGTTGAACATTTTTGAGTATATGTAATGCTTTGCTCAAAAATCATCGTCAGTCAGACACTTTTGAGTACATAACATGTCATATTCTGCTCAAAAATCATCTTCTGTTCGTACATTTTTGAGTTTTTCGGACATTTACCCTACGATATGATTGAAACCCGGAAGAGTTTTGAAACCTTTTCGCTCCCAATACGAATAATTGCGTTTGATAATCAAGTAAAGCACTGTCAGCGCACCAATCAAAAGTGCCAAGAAATCGACTGTCCAACTACTAGTTAGAATAGCCATATTTTATCACTGATATTCTCACACACACACACAAACGGTTCACAAACAACTTGTAGTTATCCTCTTGATGATGATATTCCATCGACTGTGTGCAAATGGTTCGCAACCACTGCCATTTATACAGAACATGAAAAAGGCGAACCGAAAAATGTCGAATATTTACAAAATAAATAGCTTACCTGTGGTGGTGCGTCATAATAGATAGAAATCGTTTGCCAAAAACAACACACATGATCGATTTGATTATAGTCTGCATGTATAGAGCTTATCTACCTGTCTATCGTTTATGCTCATGATGATCTATCACTTTTTCTTGCTTGTCACACTTAAGATAAAACGCAAGTCATGCTGATTTGTCATTATAAAATCGCACAAAAGTTAAAAGTCGTTTTGTTTATAAAATTTGTGAATGTTGTTCATCGAATAGTATAATTTGGATTTGGTGTTTTTTTGCACCTGCCAGTCTGTGCTGCTTCAGATGTATTCGTTGAATTCTGATTACCATTTAATCTCTTTCACCCAATCTAACTCAATACGTACGAGCTCACGACTTACAGAAATTGATATAAATTATGCATTTGAATCGTACTTTATTCATCAAGAATTTTTTCTTCTTTTTTTTGAAAAATCTTATTCAACCTAGATAAATCATAGAATTAACATTTTTCTTATGAAAATATCACAAGTAACTAGAAATAGCTTATCTCTCTTTGTTATGACTCGATTACCGATAGTAGTCCCGATGATTAGCCACAATCTCCAACTACTCACTGCGTTGAAGTTTGTATTTTGTAAACACTACCCAAAACTATACACTTATGATGCCCATTCAACCGGTTTTTTTTTCGATTTGAATACAAAGTTTGTTTTGAATTTTACATTTACTTGATGTGCGAATTTAAGATAACGTAATAAAATAATACTCAAAGTTCGTTATCATCTTATGGAAAATAAACTCGATCGTTACAGTTTGACAACTTTTTTTTCGATTAGATTAAAATTTGTCGAATTTTTGTCTTTCCTGTTTTTTCGCAGTAGATTCTAGTTTTCCAATCATTCGCACTCTTTTTTTTATCACACACACACACACACACACTTGTTAATCGAATTCTTTGTCCATATTTTGATGAATTTAAAAAAAAAGTCTGAAATAGATGAAGATTTCGCACATTTTTTGAATATCATTGAATTGGCACGTGGAATCATTTAAAATGATAAACACTCTTCGTCTTTCTCAGGAACAAAGAATAGCCGTTTCGTGAGTTTTGGTTGAAAAAATGTTCTCACATTTGTTATGTAATTTTAAATACTTTCTCGAAGAGTAAGAACTGAAGTAAGTAACTGAAACGATTGTAGTGTGAGAGTCGGATTAAATTGTTGTTATTTACTGGAATTTCATTGCCAATCTCGGAAACAACCCAGCTTTATTATTTATCTAAAGCCAAGAATGATATTCCTGTCCAAAATAATTTCTCTTCTCGAAACACATGAGTAATAATTGGCTTCATTAGCTCATGCTTTCTAGTTCATTAGATTCTGATAAGAAGAATCGTGGTTTGCGCAATTTACTTTCAAGAAGAAAAACAAGAATCATTCGCTGTTTACACTCCTCACTCCACTTGACACAGCGATTGTCCGATATTTGTTAATTCCGTTGACATTCGATTTTCTCAATTTGTCTTTGGTTCTAAAATGTTTGTTTCGCTATAGATTTGATTAAATATGAACCCTAACCCGAATTCACGTAACAAAAAAATATAAACAATTTTTATTTTGCCAAGCAAACAGTTGAGATTGACACAATTCATAATCAAAACATAGACTAATATGAAAAGAGTAAAAATATTGATGCGTTCAGTTATCTCTGTTTAAAAATGGAAAATCGCTAATCTTCCAAATATATATAAATGCAAACTCTTCTCGAAAAATTAAACAGTTTCAATTGTGGGTCGTTTGAAGTAGTTAAAGTTCTCGGTTTTTGAAGAGAAAGATGAAGTTGTTCTGTGTAAGTAATCTTACGAGTGATGAAATTATTCATTTCATGTATTAACATTGAGATATTTAAATTTGACATAATTTATATTTCTAGGCCATTTTCGTTGCTCTGTGCTTATTCGTGTTGTCGACTTCGGCTGCAGGTACGTTTTGAACAAATCCTTTCCTACTATATTTTCATATTTGATTTGAAGAATTTCAAAATGAAATAATCAAGAATCATTCCACTAGGTCGAAGCGATGGAGAAAGATGTACATTAGATACCCAATGTGCAGATGCATTAGCATGCAAAGATCGTCGCTGCAAAAATCCTTGCGCTGACAAAGTGTGTGCCGCCAATGCTGTATGCACAGCAACCAATCATGTCGGCGTTTGTAGCTGTGCAAGTGGCTACAGCGGCCACCCGCTTACCGAATGTAGCAGAGAAGAATCGTGTACATATAACGTACAGTGCGACTCAAATCGGGCGTGTAGAAACGGAAAATGTGTCAACCCGTGTCTCACTGATCAAACTTGCAAGAACAAAAATTGCAAAGTCTTAAACCATACTCCTGAATGCTGAAAAACAACCAAATTACCAATTTATATACCTAGCATCTCAAACAAGATGGTTGTCTCTTTTTCAAGTGTCAATGAAACTAAAAAGTGAAATGAAATGTAATAAAATTCAATGTGAATAAAACCAATCAAATTTGACACAGTGAAAAAATCATTGGTCTTGTTTTTCGTGTATTTTTATTTGATGTGAATCACAAACACTTGATGCGTTGTAAAAATTTAGATTAAAATGAGTGACAACATAAATAGGCTAGTGTTAATTAAAGGTGTCAACGGACAAATGGACGGACAGCCTACTTTTTTACACAAGTGACCAAAATTATGTCTAAATGTACGAATAATGTGGGAAGTTATATAACAAATTGTAGGTTTTTAGGTCCTCTTTCCATCGATATATAAATATTACAGTTATTTTGAAGATTTGGTGCCATTAACACTGTTAATCCCATCCTAATCCAAATGAATGTAAATGTAAATGTATGTTTTATCTTTTTGAAACATGTAAATTAATTCCAGCCAATGGCATTATGAAAAAGAATTTCGGATCGAATTCCATGTCGGTATTTTTGCCTTTCTCGGTTAATTCATATCGGAACTTCTGTAGCATCATGACCAGTCCGACTTTTGTTTGCAGTTTTCCCAAACGCATGCCTAAAAAACGGTATTTCATCAAAAAAAATTGTCGAAATTTAATTACGAGTAACCATTTTCTTTACTCACCTATGCAATTTCGCGGTCCATCGCCAAAGGGGAGGTACGGTTTATTCGAAATGTTCTTTCCGGCTGAATTTTCATCGATAAATCGATCGGGGATGAATTTTTCTGGTTCCTCGTAATATTTTTCATCCATTTGCAATCCAAGCACAGGAATATACAAGTGCACGCCTTTCTCAATAATATGATTGGTCCCAGGAATTTGATACTCTTTGACGCATTGTCTATTTATTAGCGGCAATACTGGATACTTCCGTAAGGTCTCTATGATGTTAAAATAACAAATCAAAATAAAAAAAATAAAAAACATACACAGATTGAAAAAAAAACTTGGAATAAAAATCGAAACAACCATCCATACAAGCCTCCAATAACTTCATTTCGGAAATGGATTCATATGTTAATTTTCCGTCGTGCTTCAGTAAAATTTCGTCGATTTCGCTATGAACGCGCTGTTGAACATCCAGATTTTTGGCCAATTCATACAAACAAAATGAGAGAGTAGTCGATGACGTTTCATAGCCAGCGAGGAAGAAAACAAATGTCTGTGCGGCAATCTCGTCTTCGGTCAGTGTTTTTTGTTTCTGATCGGTTTCTATCACCGTATCCCATTGGTCGTCCAACTGAATCGTTCCTGTATTACGCAACTGCACTAGCAACTGAAATATATCTTTGCGGCTTACATTGTTCTGCTCACGATACTCTAAATTTTGCTTTGTAATCATGCGTAGAAATGTCTCTACTTCTGGTTCAGCCACTTTCATCATGAGAAATTTCATAATTTGCGGTGCATTGAAGAACAAAAACGATCGAATTATATTACGTATGTTTATGCTAAAAATTTTACGACCACAAACACGAAAATCATTATTCGGATCATTAATTGTGTCCACATCGATTCCAAATGCCACCGAAGCTGTAACATTTGTTGTGTAGCAGGCAGCAATCTCGCGTGCATCAAGCAATTCATTTTTATCAACTAATTTTTCCAAGTAATTTTGTAACGTTGAACCGCAGTCAAGTAGCGTTGAAAAAATTGCTTTGAGCTTGCCCGAAGTAAAGGCGGGTGTTAATTTGCTACGAAGTTTTTTCCAACTATCACCTGTGTCAATATAAATTAAAACGAAAAATAAACTACCCGACAGTTTTTTATATGCAAAAACTTTTTAATAGTACATACTACATACGTAACATTATTTATTTCATACCTGGCAAGGCAAATAGATGTCCGGATAATGGGTCATATTCTACGTTGCAATAAACACCACGATCAGTAAAATGTGTGAAATCCTTGATTAGAATCGATCGAATAAGATCAGTATTGCGCACCAGCAATATCGGCCGAAGTATGCTATAGATTCCAATGAATGGTTCATTTGTGCTGTCATAAAGACCTTTCACTTCGTTACCAACAAACTCTTTTTGCGACACTGTCTTTGAGAAGTGGCCGAACAAATAACTCTTCCCCGGCAATACTTTAATTCCCTTCCGCTCCCAGTACGTGTAGGTTCGTTTGAAAAATAAATACACCAAGGTAAGTGCCCCAATCAAAATAGTCAAAATGTCAATTGCCCAACTCTCAGTCAACAATGCCATAGTTTATGCTCAATTTTAACACTTCACCAACACTTCGTATTCTTTCAATCGTATTTCATTTACTGCGCAATATCGAATACTATGCGCAGCAATTTATATTCGATTTTATTCTTTTTTTTAAATAAAACTTTAACGTTGACCAACAACTGCAAGTCATTCCTTTTTCAATTGTTAAGTTTTACTATGATGCTGTTGGATTAACGAATCAGTCGTATCGAAGATTAGCGTGCGGTAAATAACACGTTATAGACTAAAATAAAAACAAATATTTAGAATTACCGAAAACCAATGAGATTGTTCAAAGTTCAAGCGTAACCAGTTTAACTTCAGCTGATATTTCAATAGTATTGGTATGTACAATGTAAATTGTGCACGACACGAAGTTGACAGCGTAGAAACACTTGATGTTGGGCCGCAACACAGATACAGACGCTTTGAAATCAAGATTGTGTTGCAAATGATTCACTGTGTTTTTGGGAACGAACATCTATTTTTCGATTGGCAATGAAGCGAGTGCGAGTATCAATGTGTATGTCTTTGTATGTGTATGATTGAATACAACAAGTCTGCGTACACAAAACACAGAACCTAGCTCGCACGTGCGGCTAATATAAAAAATTCTCTGTGTTGGTTTTTTTTTT